TAAATTTGTAAAAAGACATTAATTTAAGAATTTGCTATGCTTTCATGGTTCAACATCCTGGTTCGCCGGTTCGTGTCACGTAACCCAAGTGATCTCATCTCACGTAAACTACGCTCCAAAAATCAAATTCTCTCAGTAATTTCATGTGAAATCTTAATTTGGATACAAGTTGAAATGCGAGTATTTCAATTCGTACGAATAGCTACTCAGAAATTATGTAAACCGCAGGCTTCACTTCGCTAGTGCATTCTCATTAGAATTGGTGAATTGAACCCTTGATTTTGCCTTTTTTATTTTCCTTCGAGGAGCGTGTATGTGATTGCATTCTAATTGACTTAATACGGCGAATGGTCTTAGTGCATAAAATTTAACTATCAAAACTTCTAGTGATTAATGCAGTATTGAAATAAACAATCAATAATAAGAAAAGTGTTTGTACTTGTTTTGAAAATGAAGCGTAAAAGTTACAGCGAGATATGCCGTTTGGCATCAGTTGTACCATTATTGGCGACTTTATCGTTTGTGGCGAAACGGAAAAGTACCGAAAATTGTTATTAGCAATTGATTTAGTTTAAAGTAATTAGGATTGTAATCTAATTTTTATTAATTTAATGTATGTGCTTATTTATATTTAAGTAGTGTTTTTTAATTAATTATATTTTATTTAATGATCGGATTTTGTGAGTTACATGTTTGTAGTATTTTGGAATATGTTTGAGTAGTATACGTTGAGTATTTTCATGCATTTCGTGAAATTTTTCTAATTTATGAGAAAAAAGCAGTGTACATGGATATATGTGAGGAGTGTGCGCAATGCCATTTTTGTGCAATTCTGGGATTGTTTTAAGTAAAATAAGTCGACGGTACATGGTTTAGTGATTTTAATTAAATGATAGGTATTTTGTGATTTTATGTTTGTAGGAATTTGGTTACATTTTAGTTGAAATAAACGTGCATGGAAATAATTTAAATATTTGACACTAATATTTGTAATGTTTGCAGTATGAATTCGTTGGTGACGTTTATAATATAATAGATAATTTAGAGGTAAAGGTTTTTGGATATTTTATTTATTTTATACGTGGAAATGTTCATATTGGAAAGGGTATATACTTTTTGCGATAAGGTAATTTCATATATGTTCTTTTACCGGGTTTAAAGATTCAGAAAAATTGTCATGCATTTTCGTGAAATTTTTCTAATTATGAGAAAAAAGCAGTGTACATGGATATAGTGAAGAGTGTGCGCAATGCCATTTTTTTGTGCAATTCTGGGATGTATTTTTAAGTAAAAATAAGTCGACGTTTACATGGTTTATGTTACGTGTTATTGTTGAAAAAAGGCAAGGAGTTTGCGATTGTGCACTTTTTTCCCAATTTGCAGTGAATATTTGTCATGATTAAGCAGTTTTGGTTAGATAAAAATTTCTAGTATAAGTGTAATTTGGCTAGTAGATTGTTGGAAAAAGTGTTCAGTAAATAAACAGAAAAGAAACACGTCTTGACTTCGTGAAGACAAAATGGCGGCGGGGAAAAAAAATAGAGGGTTGCTGTAGCAGAGTTGGTCGCCAAATTTTCGCCATAAAATCGCCAAGTTACCATAATCCAAAGATCAACCAAATCCTTTTACTTAAAGTCCGTCCTAAAACTTATACAGGTATGGACTAAATTTTTTATTCATTTTACTGCTTATTTAAAATTATATACTTTATAGAAACAAGGATGGGTTTTGCAAAATACTGAAAGGAAAAATTATTTGAAATGAAAATGTGACTGAGATCATATTTGTTTTAAAGATTTTAGATAAAAGTGTATTTTTATTTTTTCTCAGAAACTAATTCATTAACTGCAAAATCATTCCTTGAAGTTATTAAAAACACTCTAATAAATACAACAAAAAAAACTGGGGGAGACATTGAAAACTGTAGGAGAAGAAAAACATTTTAATTGCAAAATTTTTCTTCAAAAATTTAAATTAAAAAAAATTACTAGCCCAAAACTTTTTTCAGCTTAAAATTATTTTGTCACACAAAACCATTTAATAATATTCATAAAAAGTAGATGAAATGCTTAAATTTTTTTTAAAAAAATCATTCAAAAGGTATCGAGTTCCTTGTCGCGTTGAAGCCAATATGCACTTGTCTTAACTTTAGATTTAATTTGAGCGATATTTCTGGAATACCTAGCATCAGATAACCTTGTCTGCATTTGTCTATAATTTCCGTATCTTGTACAGTTCTATCTAATATCTAAGACATCTATCTGCGCGATTGTTTCGCTGACAGTCCAGCGAGCAATAACTAAAATTAAGTGAACCGCGCAGTATAGTATGGGAAATCTCCCCATTTGCCCTGCTCCCGAGAGGTAAGGAACATTCAACCAAGTTCTACTTCCAATTCGGCGAGGCAGTTAATGCTTGTCCCATGTGAACGGGACACGTTGGAAGAACCGGTTTTCACTACCGGTCGAATCTGCTCTTGTGAATGAGGCTTAAATGTCCTATTTGTATGAAGAAAATACGGTCAAACATAAAGATCATTCAGATGGCTTTGAATGGGTTTGTCCGACACTATGGAGGATATTTTTTATTCTTATTTTCATGAATTTATGTGGCAACGACAGTATATAGATTCTAGTTCAGATAATTTTACAAAGTTTTTGGATGCTGTTAAGGAATTTTGTGTGCCACAGACCGAAGACAGAGAAATTTCTACTTAAATTGATATTTCCTTTTCATGTAGTGTGTAGATGAGACAATATGTATTTCCTTTTTTATGCTATTTCACTCTTTAATTTAAAATGAAGTTTATTGAGATTATATATTTTTGTTTTAATTATGTTTCATTGCATTATTTTTTGGATGCCATTTTACTGGGGAGGGCGTTGGAAGTAAACAGGAACGGAGCCAAAAAAATTACCACGGTGTACCCTGAAATATATTTTGACCTAGAAACATTTCTTTCAGATCACCATAGTTAATATCAATTCTCAAACGTACAACAATGCTGCAAAAAACAATGAAGGAAGGGGAACTTAATCAATCTACTCATTCCAGCTCCACCTGATGAAGCAGGCAGGCAGGCCATAGAAGGACTACAAAAGCTCACACTTGACTAATTTTAAATGTGGTTTTAGCATTTATACCTAGAATGTTTATTTCATTTTTAACTTCATTTTAACTGCATGTGCCTTTTAATTCTTCAATATTAGAATTACATTTTACTCTTTTTTCCAAACAAGATTTTAGGTACAACTCTAATATACGCCCTAATTTCACCAAATGTGGCGATATGTGTTCTGCGTTGATTTTTGTCGTGATTGCATGTTCTATCGCAAACCTGTTGACGTTGAAAAATCTTTCGCTGGAGCTCGTTGGTTCGCCTCTGTGTCTGAGAAGATGGGAGGGAAAGATAAAATGGTAATTGTTGAATTGAAGTTCGGCAAAGGAAATATGATGTGGCTATCCTGTTGAGGGGTAGTGGGTATTTGGAAGTGTGGAAAGAGGGTCTGGGAGATTATTTTTAATGGCAGTGCATGATAGAAGTAGGGATTTGTGATTTTATTTATTTGTGAACCATAGTATAAATTTCTGGATAGTGTGTCTGGCTGTCATGTAAATACGATAGTGATACGTGGCGTGGCGGCATGTTAAAGGCGGTATGAAATTTATATTCTGCTATTCGAAACGGCATAATTCATGGTAAGTGCATTTTATTTATAGTTTTATTTTTAGAATGTTTGTTCATTGCTTTTTTAGTATGAATTTCTGTCGCTATTGTTGTTTTTTTAAATTGTTTGAAATGTTTATTAAAGCGTATGATTGTTTAGATCGTAGATTCCCTTGCTAAATTGTGCAATTCGTAGAATTTTTTTAAGTTTAAACGGATGCTGTGATGGATTCTTTGAAATTTATTGTTGTATTTTAATTATTAAAGCGAGGTGTGCGTAGTTTGTAGATTCGTTCGTTGCCTACATTGTGCAATTCGTAGATGTTTTTTTAAGTTAAAACATGTCACCGTGTACATGGATTCTTGTCAAATATTTCTGGTTAGAAACTTTACGTTTTTGCTATCTAAATTTTTTGTTTTGGATTTTTAGCTAAATTGTGTGTTCAAAACGTAGTTTTTGCATGTGCGAAAACCACGTTTTTTGAGACATTTTAGGCTAAAAGTTCAAAATGTAGACAAAAAATTTAGATAGTAATATGGCAGCGTAAAGTTTCTCGCCAACAGAGTAGTTCCAGATTTTATAATGCATATTAATAATAAACCCTCACACAAACCTTCATGTTCTGCCTTTCAGCTACATTCTTTATATCTTCCACACTTAACGTACTGGTATCTGAAAAAGTTTCACCTTTCACAGCCTAGTGGCCTCACCAATGGCTGAGTGTTTAAGACTGCTTACTGCTGATAGTTTAAGCCCACACAAATGAGCTGCCTGTATAATTGGCTTTTGTGTTGTAAAATGTAACATTTTTTCATTGTGTAACATGAATGTAGCCAGTTTCCCTTAGAAAGTGCTCTATGAAGGCATCTCTTCCCTTAGGCATATAGCCCTTGTAAGCTTTATCACATTCAAATAATGTAACCTAAAGCAAGCAGTGTACATTTTCAGTATCCTCACACCTCTTTGAAATTTTATATTTTGTTTTGTAAACTTTTAGAAAGCAAAATTATCAGGTGATTTAATTTATTGGTAAGCAAAAACAACTATGCAACTTATTAAGCAATTAAATTACACTTCTGTAGTATTACTTATTAAGTAATTAAACTTATTAAGAAATTTAAAAAAATATCCAATTAAACTTAAGAAATTTTAAAATATATCCAATTAAAAGGAATTTTCTTTTCATAACTTCATAGCAATATGCCACATACTGATAAAATGATGTAATTTTCATTTAAAGCTTAAAGATATTATTTACTTGATAAAAAAAAGTTTGATAAAAAGAAAATTCTCAACTTTTGTAACTCAAAAAATACACAATATTAAACTTACATATATGTCAGCTAAACAATGGATAAGACAAATCATCTTTAATATTGTAAGATATCCACTTCTCTTCCATCATTCATTTTCTTAGATTACGGAATCCTGGAAATTTGATTATGAATTAAAATTTTATTTGTCAAATACAATTCCATGCAATGTTTCATAATGTAAAACCTCTAAAATAAATAACATGAAAATACAAATACATTACATAGGAAAATTCAAATAAGTTTAATATAAAAAGAGCATACTTTAAACAATACTACAAACTAAATATAACCCAAGAAAAATGATATTTTCAAGTATATACAAGTAATGATATATACAGGCTTTCAAGAAAAATTCCAGAGCCTTTGTATTAAACACCAATCCCTTTTTCCAAAAACATTTTTCTAGTACACTACTTATATACCATAACAGTTAAATTATCATTTCATTTTATGAGCTGAATTAAGTTGAACAAAATTAATATTTAGTTTTAACTCAATATCTCTTTAAAGTCATTAAGTTGAATCTGGGGAGGATAAGATTAGATTCAAATACCAAATTACAGTTTGGACATTTGTCTATGCTTTAATCCTAAAAAATACCCATAGAACAAATATGAAAATGATAAGGATATCAGTCTTAAAAAATTTAGTTTTTGCCAATAAATAATAAACACATATTCCTTTTCCTCAGAATTATATGAAATATCTCTAAAGATAACTTAATCTATATGCTTCAACTCCTCTTGCCTTACCACACAAATATCTGATCTCTAATCTATAATTTTATTGAAAAATATTGCAGTTTTATTGCTGAAAACCAACTTGATTGTGGAAACTTAACATAGCATCTTAACGAAGTAACATCTTAGGTAAGGTTAGATATCTCTTGATGCAATCCTTCGCTTCCTCAGATACTCAATGTTAACTTAGGCCAGTGATTCTCAATCGGTGGTATGCAAAAGAAAAGTAGATGATATGCAAAGAAACAAAGTATTTTTAACTATTAAATTCAAAAATTTCATGAAGAAAAACAACAATTGACAGTAATTTCCTGTGATCGAACTGAAATTCTAATTGAAAATTTCAAAAATAACACACTTGTTTATTTTTTCCTGAACTGAAAAAAAAAAAAAAAAAAAAAGAATTTAAAGCATTTCAAATAAATTTACTAAGTTTTTATTGCCTTTTTTGCACAACCTATTTGTGTGAACAAGGATTTTCTTCCATGTTATATTTGAAAAATAAATACAGAACAAAATTAAAAGTGGATCCTAATTTACAGTTAAAACTAAGTGAAATAAGAACAAACATACAGAAATTGATCTCTCTTAAACAGGCCTACATTTCATACTAAATTTTAGAATTAAAGTATTATAACTCAATTTTTGATAATCAAAATGGCAACAAGATTTTAATCTAATATTTCTATGTGTGCATATTTAATATAAATAGCCAATAGGTTGTGCAAATGGCAAAAATATTGTTTTTAATATTAATATTGAGAAACTGAAAACTAAACATTGTAAAATGTAGTGGTGGTACTACATTTTTCAATTTTTGCTTAGATAGTATGCATTAGTCAAAAGGTTGAGAACTGCTGCCTTAGGCCATTCTTGATTGTCCTAAAAGAGTGTTCATGAAGTTTGCTTGAATTTTCTGGGATAAAGCCATTTTAAAATTATGTTGGAAAAAAAAAGGGGGGGATAATAATATACAATTTAGTTAATAAGTTCTGGCAAAAATGTACTACTATTATCATCATGATACTCGCTTGCTCGCGTTTCACAATGCTGTTGATCTAAAGATATAGTTCTATTTTAGTAATTACAATTAAAAATTTGATTTTTTTTTGTTTCTATTATTTGTTTTCTGTTTTAGTTTTAGAAACAACTTTTCGGCTACACTCTTGCAGAATTCACTCAGCTATTCCATACTTGACCTCGGCTCTTTTGTAGAACTGCCTCAGCTACTGGGCTAACTAGACCAAGCTCATAGGAAGGACTCGGCCTTTCTAGTACTACTATCAGCCAATCTACTCTGCTTTGCTCAGCTCAGCTCGAATTTGAACTGCATGACTGCAGCTGGAATTTTGATCTTTAATATACATGGTAGCTGAATATGCAAATTTTACCAATATTTGAGCCTACCTACCCATAAAACTTAATTTTCCATTGCTATATCTCTCATTTGTTTCATTTTAAATAAGGAAAGAAGGTGATCTATGGAAATTTAGGCATCTCATAGAATTAAACAACTGACACCATATATAAAATTGCAATTTCTCCTAACCTCTACTTAAAACTGCATTTCCAAAGAAGTTAATACATATTAATTTATTCAATAAAAACATAAAACAACAAGATAATTAATAAGAAATTACATTTAAGTAATACTTGCAGTAAAGTAGAAAATTTATTATCAGTAGCCAAATTTTCTTAGTAAAATATTTTAAAATATGCTGATTTTTCCACCGAATGAGAAGCTTATCACTTGAAATTATAAAAATCTAAAGAAAAATATACTCTTCCCTATATAAGCTAAATGATGCCTGTTAATGCCAAGGCAGGCACCACACAAGTGCAGCTGCACGGGGAGGCAGAATTTTTAGAACTCAGAACAGGCACTGGGCAGCAGAATTTAGGACACACAAATACTGCATCCGGCGACAGAAAACCAAGCGCCCGCCCTGTACAAAGTGCATTACATGTACGCACACAACATACATAAATACATATAACGAGAATAATGACTGAAATCAACGCAATATTCCACAACTTAGTTTGATACAATTCCGCCATTCACTAGCTTTACATTCTTTAAATAAATAAATATACAAGCAGGAACAGAAATTCTATATATCAGAAAATACTCTCTACAGTGATTATTTCAACAGTCTATAACTAGGAAAGTTATCGACTGTTGAAATAATTCAACAGTTTTATAACTAGACTCTAGTCTTTAACAAGAAAAGAAGCAAGTACCTTGAAATACAACTTCAATTTCAGACAATCCTTCTTTTGCACAAAGTGTATCTAAAAGACTATATCACACTGAAACGTCAGAAAGAAACTCTCCCACAATAATACAGGAAATTACAAGCAATGTCCACATGCAATGTTTACTTTCAAGATAACATGTCTTGTAGTTATAGTTGAAGTGTCACATTTATCTTTCAGGATATTATCTATCATATTGCGAAAAATAATACACAAATAAACGAAGTTAGAGGCATACCTCTTTATTCCTCATCTCCAGTTTTCGTTTATAGAAAACATATATCGATATCTATAAATTTTTCTGAGTAAGAGCTACAAGACTACATAATTTTGATACCTCCAAAAGTACATAACTTCAACTCTCGTTTATTAGGCAGCTAAACATGATATTACTAGAAGACCCCGGCTGAATTATTTATTGACAGAAAAGTTAATTATGCTTCTCGATTAACTTTTGTTGTTGTTGTTCTTCGAAAGGGGATTTGCGAAATTAAAAATGGCAGACACTGAGAAATTAGTGGACTATGGATTCGGATATGGCCAGGGCGAAAAAGAGTTTTATCATGAGAAGAAAAAGAGAAAAGTTGATTTTAATGTGATAGATAAAATCTTGAAAATCAGACTTCTCTCCTGTGCACCAGAAGGGAAATTTTTGTAACAAGTTGTTCGAAAGCCCATTCTTAATTTACGGAAAACAATAGTATTTCTGAAAGGTAAAAATGGCGAAAGCACCAAAGCCAACAAGCACAACCCTTTCTCTGATTCTTGTAAGCTATCTAAAATAATCATAATATCTAATAATAATATCTAAAATAGACAGCATAAATCCAAACCTAAAGACTGAATGGGCGCAATCTATTAACTCTCTCATACGCTAAATTACCCATAATATTAAGACAAAATTGATTTTCACTTAAAGGAAGTCACGCAGAGGTGCGCAGTTTTTCACCCAAAATCGCTCCACTTTATGGACAAATTTTAAACGTAGTGCATTTAGTAATCCTTGAAGGCCAATACGCAGTTAATATACATTATAAAAATAAAGTTTACTAAGCACAGGCAGGATCACAGGATATTTCAGAGAAAATGGTAAAGACGCCTGTCCAAGACGGTCACCAGCAAAATTTATTCCTTTATGATTAGCAAAGGTATGCAAATTTTTAAGTTACTTGTTTAGCCCCTTTGTACAAGATTGGCTCCTTTGCTCTTGTTTGCTAAACCTTTCTTCAGCTGCTCTTCCCTCTTTTATTTTAAAAGGTCCTATTATCTCAGATCTATCTCTGCAATTATAAATAAACCTAAAAATAAAAGGATATTAATGATTTTATATGTTCAAGAATTCTTCTAAAACATTACAGTTCGGGTTAATAAGCCTAATTCCCTCAGAAAATCATTCATGTCAATAGAACTTTTGCTTTCAGACTGTAAACACTTGTAGGAAAGAGGTGGCTCTATCCAAAATTCTGCCCAAGTCCACCATTTGAAACTGCTCCATCAGAGAACGACTCTAACTTCGTGACAAAATTGTCTTTGGTTTTATAATAAAACCAGAAATCTGGATTAGTCAACTTTTGAATCTGTTCGACATGATTTTGAATGAAAGACTTCAATCTGCTGCTGGATCATTTGATACAATATAACAAGAGCTTAAAATAAATAAATAAATGTGAACACTTTCCGTTTTCAGTCCTTCGCATAAATTCAGCCTAGTACCGCATAAGTTCCTTTACTTCACTTGAAATTTTTAAGGATTCTAGCATATCATCTGCTCCGGCAACAATATGATCATCGTATCAACTGCTCAAGAAAAAATAAGTTGGTTCCATACCTCCTGTCTTACTCGACCGATCGATGAAATTCAACTTGAGTTTTTCATGTCTTGGAAGAGCAACTAAGGATATGTACTATATTTATATAGCGTTATTCTAACATACGATATATTTTGAAACAAAATCGAACTTTTTCTTAAATGGCTTGACGATTTATGTTTGCATATTTCGATTCTAAGACTCAAAATGATGCCTAAAAACCAAATTTTGTAATATTTAGGGAGAAGACTGAAAAATTTCTAAATATAATTTGGCGCACTTTTTCAACTCCCACCAAGAGTAATTCACTTGGCAAACTTTTCAGTCTATGTTACTCTTTCTCCTTGCCTTTCATTCTGAATTTTCGGAAATGTGCTTCTTGGAAATATTTTTATTTTATATTATAATTTTGGTACTATTCCGTTTTGAGGACCGTAAAAAAGTGCAGCGAAAATGTATGCGCAAAAGCGCCAAATCTAGCAAACGCGCTGATTTCAAATTACGTAAGTTTAGATAGTTCTATATTTCTTAAGACGCCATTGAAATACTAGTTTAATTTTTAAATCCTTTTTTGATATCCTATGGATTTAACAATTTGGGGCTCATGACGAAAAGTCTGCAATATAATTTTTTTCAAAGAAAAGGCATCATTCATTACAGAAAATTATGTTTGAACAAACGAGATGAAATTATGCTTTAGCGATAACTCGGCAGCGAAATAGCGATGCAGAAATCCATTCAATTATGTTTAGATTTTTTTATATAAATTATAATATAATAATGAAAGCCCGCCCCTGAAATAGTTATTTACTATTATGCTTCCATTCAGTTATGTTTAGCCTTTTTTATATAAATTATAATAATAAAAAAGCATTATATGAAACTAACCTTTCATATAAATTAAAACAATTATCTTCAGATAGTTATTTACTATTATACTTCTTTCTTGCGTTAGGGTTGCCGCAAATATTTTTGGCAGCACTGGCATCAACAATAGTTCGGCGAGTTTTTACGGTCCTCAAAACGGGAATAGTACCATAATTTTTAATGACAGTTGCTATTTTTAGACTTTTCTTTTCAAAGAACTTATTTTAACTATACGAGTTGTGTGGTTTAGTTCTTCAAAAATTTGCATTTAATCATTCACATTATGGACTTTAACCCTTTGACGTGTGGTGGTCGCACCCTGAAACCACCAATTTTCGAATTTTTTTGTCCTCTTCCTTCCGAAATTTTTTAGTGAAAATCAATTGATTACTGATCTTTTACCTCTAAATAACACAAAATGACTACAGAGTCATACACAGTGGCGTAGCGAGGGGGAGGCAAGGGGGTGCATGATGCCCGGGCGCCGCTCATAGAGGTGCGCCAAATGGTCTCCAAACAAGTTTCCAGAAAATTTCAGTTTTGATCGATTTCTGGAAAATATATTTAAAATTAATAACTATTGTAATATAATTAATTATTTATTTTCTTGATTTGTCTGGTAAAATGTGTAATAAAATGTTTGCAGAACATCAACCAAAACGTTCTTCCTGAACACTTTATTTCTCCAAAGCAGATATATTTTTATTTTTTTTAAACGAAATGCGCATATATCTCCCACTTTTATTTTAAAACGATAACACGACCTTGTCTCGAATTTCTTAAACATATCCAGTTTCCAAAATCCGGAAATGACACTTTGGGAAAATCCTAACGCTTCCGTTACAATGGATTGCGTTTGACTCTCCTGTAAACAACTGATGGCCTTCTTGGCTACCGATTCAACTAAGTCATCTTGTTGAGACATCGTATATTCACTGCTACGAAGCATTCAACACATGTCAATTGTTTTTAATCTATTATAAAAGGAATACCGCAGGTCGCTACTTACTCCTTATCTAAAACCCATACTTTTCGACGTCACAGAAAAAATTTGCATGTTCCCATCTTTGTAAACGTTATAATCTCTTCCATTTCCTTTTGTTCAAAAAGATTGTCGATTATATGGTTATTTCATACCGAACCCACAATATCCCCTAATTGTTTTCAGCAGTGAATTGTGACTGCATGACGTTACTCCGCAATAGAAAAGAAACGGAACCTAAAACTCCACTACAGATCTATAGAGAAAATATTTTTCCAAACCTAAGAGTCGCACTTCAAATACTACTTACTATTTCATTATCAAATGCTAACTATGAACGTTCGTTCATCAAATTAAAATAAATTTTCACATATTTACAATCAACGATGAGACAAGATCCAAGTCATCTAGCATTTTTAAGTGTGGTAAGAGAAAATTTTGAAAGAGTCGACTTTGATGAAGTAAATAATAAATTTGCTTCATCCAAGGTAAGAAAAATGCATACATAGTAATTAATTGTATTCATTGTATTATATTATTAATAATAAATATAAGTGCCTGACCAAGTCGAGGTGCACGTGACTGAAGCGAGATGAGGGCAAATTAAAATTTTTAAGTTGGCTGGTGGTGTGTCTGACAATTTTAGATCTTTGGCACTCCAAGCACGAACATGTCCAGTTGGCTATGTCCTTTTGCATGCTAGGCCATACGAAATGTTGCTGTATCAGTTTCCTCGAAGCCTTGATGCCAGGATGTGACAGACGATGTAACTGACTAAAAATAGGCATGGCGAAATCCTGGAGGTAACATAAGGTCGAAATCTTGAATCCCGAACATCACAAATAAAGTGGATTTTCCAGGTGACAGCTGCATAGGCTGCAAGTTGAGAATTGCTGGAAAATTTGCTTTTCAAGAGGGTTTGTAGTTTCTGAATCCCGGCGCTTGTTCATCCACAAGGGCAGCAAAGTTTATTGGCGAAGGAATGGCTAGTTCTTTCAATACGAGACAAGGTGTCTGCAACAATATTCTGCAAACCCTCAACATAACAGATATCTGTTGAAAATTGCCCTATGAAGTCTAGGTGTCTCATTTGACGAGGAGAAGTTTTATCCTGTTGAAAAGCATAGGTTGTGATCTGTGAAGATCATGAAAACGCATCCCTCTAGCATATGTCAAAAGTATTTGACAGCTTCATAAATTCCTAATAATTCGCAATCGTAAGTGCTGTATCTGGTTTGTGCTGGTGAGGGTTTTTTAGAAATATATATCTCCATAATTCTTGGATCTTCCTGTTGTAAAACTGCTCCTGTACCTGTTGTTGATGCATCAACGTGTAGAGACTTTAGGTTAATTTTTGGAAGCAGAACATATGAAAAATATGCAACGCCTTCACCGGGAATCGAACTGGGGACCGGCCCAGCGTGCAGAACCACTACACCACGAAGACAGGCTACGAAAGCGGGAGAAATACCTTATATACTCCCCCTTTTAAAGGGCGATTGGGGTTTTAAGGGGACCCAATCGCCAAATCCTGGGTGTGGAGACTCTTCACCCAACACCCCTTTTAGTTCGGGCACCACTGTAGAGACATGAGGATATTTGGAAACAAGAGAGATTGAAAATTAGCAACTGCCTTTGTCAGGAATCGAACCACGGACCTCTGGAGTACTGGCCCAGCGTGCAGAACCACTACGCCATGCTAGGAAAGCAGGAGAAATACCTTATAAACATAGAGTGATAATAGTTTAGATGCGGAAGGATACTGAAAATTTGTTGCCAAAATTAAATCATTTTTGCATTTTGGGAACGCTTCACGAGATTCTGTGGTCCAGGTTATAGCACGTTTATCGTTTTTCTTGCTTCCAACCAAAAAAGAATTTTAGAGGTGGCTTGTATGGTTGCTGCATGAGGTCAAGAAACGTTCGATAAAAATTGAGCATAGCAAGAAATCTGTCTTAAGTCCTTTACAATGTAGATGGTTTCGGGGCATATCGTGGATAGCGGTGACTCTATCTGGAAGGGGTCGAAACGCCATCGGTGGAAATTTCATGACCAAGAAAGGATACTCTTGGTTGGCAAAAAACGCATTTGGAAGGATTAAGACTGACACTGTACCTTTGAAAACGTTCAAAAACTGTTCTCAAATGTGATAAGTGTTCTTGCTCTGAAGAGGAGGCGATTAAGACGTCATCAAAATAAGGTACATGAAAGTTGAGGCCAATTAACACCTGATTCATTGACTAACACCTGAAGGGTTGGAACGTTTGAGCAGCACTGCATAAGCCGAAAGTCATGACCGGAAACTCAAATAGTCCAAAAGGCGTAATAACCACAGTTTTAGCTGGGTTAATGGGCACTTGATGATACGCCCGCTCAAGATCAAGGGTTGTAAAAATAGCTTATCACTCTAAAACTTGCATACAGTCTTGAATGTGCAGGACTGTGTAACAATCAGGAATTGTAGCTGCATTTAACCGGTGATAATCACCACTTACCATTTCGTTTCCGAACTAGATGGAGAGGATTGGCCCATGAACTTTTTGAAAGACGGCAAATTTCCTGTTCCATCATGTATTGAAATTCCTCTTTGGTGGAACTGAAAACATTTTTAGCCGATCATTCATACACTTCTTTGGATAAAGTCCTGAATCTTCAATCAAGTAGGCTAAGACATCTTTGGATTCTAAACTTATGATATGATATAACATTCTACAATGTAATTTTAATTTATACAGCCCTTCAGCACCTGGGGATAATTGAAGATTTCGTGCCCTCCTCCTTGCCAAGAACTGAAAATATTTCATTCTAAAATTTCTTAACATCAATTTGGCACCTCCTGGATGCTGTGCCTGGGGACAGGTGTCCTCCTTAGCTATGCATCTGCCCTTCAGTGGAAAAAAAGTTGCCCTCTGCAATGTTATTTCTTGTGTTTTTTCCCTCTAGTATAGGCCTCTTAACTAGAATATTTTAGACTCTACAATTAGTGAAAACTCAACAAAATATGATTTGAACCTTCATATATTTTGCCTTAAACATGCAACTTCTTTGAAGCGGTTTTCCACAAACTGTTATTTTCTTTTAATTTCCTTCTTTCAGAAACATTTGTTTTCAGTATTGACTCACTGAGTTTTTGACAGTTGAATTTCCATAATTTTGTGTTTTTATTAAATTATTTTAAAACTTTAATTCTATATTTCAGAGAAACTACTTTTCATTTTCTAGACATTTTAACTGCAAATTAAGTTTAAAGAAAATTTAACGAAAAATTCGTTATATTTTGAGGGAAAAATGTAACGAATGTAATGTAATTTAGTTAAACATGCTTACCAAATGATAGAGGAATAAAGCATCTCCCAACATTTTTGGTCAACAGAATTCAGCATTTAGTCTGCCACACCTAGTGATCTGCTATTAATATCGGGTGCAAATATTATAACTCTAATAAGTCTAACAATTTTTAAGATCAGTAAATGACATATTAAGGAGGATATTGTTTTAAATTATCGGTAATAATATAAGGGAAAACTAGTTATTTGAAACATTCTTTGCAAAAAAGTTAATATAATATTTATATTTCATACACTTTTATTAAAAGATGAGATATGAAAAAAAATGTGAAAATCTTAAACTTATTATATTGTTTATATTGTTTAAATACTTAGTTTATATTGTTTAAATATTTAGTTTGAAACTATGGGCTGCGATATAAGTATAGCACGCATAAGATTTTCTCTTTTAAGGAAAAAAATGAAGAATCAATCCAAATGCAATTAATAGGCCAAAACTGAAGGAACTCACTTCTAAAAAAATACAAAAATAAAAATAAAAATTCGACTTTGAATCCGTATCAGTTTCAAGAAACATGTTATGATATTCACTTTGATCTACCTTCGAATTTCTAGTTACGAAATCATTTCGTCACAAATTTCCTCTGACTGAAGTTTAAGTAATCACAATTTTAGTGCATACTTCACAGTATTGCAATTAAGTAACCAGAATGTATTAAAAAAATAAAAAGGTGTCAGAGTTTATATTGATGCAACTTAATACAAATGTGACAAGTAATTAAAAAAAAAACGACCCGTAGAATCTTTTTCGGCTTGTCTGATTTAACACTGCTCTAAGAGTAGAATGTCCTAATCATCCCACCTCTTCCATGTCAGAAAAGAAACTCTCCCTAAAAAGGGAACTTTAGTTTTTAGGAAGAGAAATTAATCGCACGGAGACAAATTTGGAGAACATGCGGGATGACTAAGTACACATAGTTATTTTCAGAACAGAGTGGCTCTGCAAAGGAGTTATTGATCCGTGGCAAGATGCATTAACGTGTAATAGAACAGTTTCCGACAGAATAACATTGTCAATTTAATTCTCAGCTGTTTAAGTCAGCTACTCAGCCAAGCATTTAAAACTACACTGACGCCTAAGCTTGTAAGATAAACCTTCTCAGCTTTCAAGATAAGTCACTTAATTTAATATGTGTTTAATCTTCCTAAGAAGAATAACACATGGAGATAATTACACCGTCTTTAGAATAAAAGAATGACAAGTGAATAGAATAATAGCAAATGTAACCGAATGCTCATTTGCAATATGGCTTGATAGTTTAAAAACCAACATGTTAACAAAAATCTACTTTTTGAGCTGAGAATATAATAGTAGTCTAAATATTTGCAAATCAAATAGTAAATTAAAGACTAGTAACCTGGCTCCGAATTTAAGCAGTTCTATTAATGGCTGAGCTGACTGCTGAATACTAGTAGCTTGTTTCAGATTCCAACCCAGGCAAACGAACTGGATAGCGAAAGTAAAAATGTACTCCTATAAACGGAAAATAATCTTTCAACTTTTAATTAATATTCTTCACATATTAAAAAAAAGCTTTTTATGTATTATTAATAAATATTTACTAGGCATTATTAATAAAAGTAAGAATAAGGAAAATTATTGCAATGCACTGAAGATTGTAACAAAGTGTGTATACCAGATTTGGCATTATTATCACTTAACAACAAAAATATAAAATTTTAAAGCACATTAATATAAAAATTCCCAAACTAATTCTTTACTCAAATGCTTAGAAATACTTTAGGATGAGGGTAAAAATTTCATAAGCCATGATTAAAAAAATTTATAATAATTACTGTAAATTTTTGATATAAATCAGATAAAAAATGTATGAATTAATTTTGGATTGGACCAAAATTTCGAATTATAAATGAAGAAGTTAAGCAGTCCATATTATTAAATATATGTGAAATTCAAATAACATTATGGAGTTAAAATTGGACTGCTAATGGAAAAAAACTGCTGCTCAGATTTTTCATGGCATTTTGGTGTTTGTATTGAATACGGAAAAAGTCAATACATGAAAAAAATTAACATATCATTTGAGAAAAAAACCTGATTTTGTATCAAAATATGTATTTCAGAACAATGCTACATTTAAATCAAATACATATTGTAAGTCACACTTTTAACACATGAAAAACAAAAGCTGAATTATGTCAATCAGAAGAATATACAGAACTGTCATCCTTTTATTTATTTTAATCAGTGTACATATACAAATCAAGAATTTGAAATGTGTCTGGACACACAGGTCTGCAGTTCTGATAAAATAGTTCTTTGAGTTTTCTTTTAAGAGAGAACATCTTTCATTTTTGTACCCATTTTTTGCTACACGTATCAATAATTACAAATAATCACACAAATTTAGTTCAGAATTTTCTCAATGTACCAGTTAATAATACATAATATTTCAAGTATAACTCACCCCTTTCTTTCAGCATTGAGCAGTAAAAATCATAAATGTAAATCCATATTTTGCTCAAACTGAAAGTGACAGCAAAATTGTTCATTCTACAAGTTGTTAATGTATTTGCCAATTTCTTCCAGGCTCTACAGAATTATTCAAAATGGTTCAGCCATTTACTATAAACAATGGACTGTAACTGTCAAAAATTAACTACACCAAACTAAATATATTTCATCATTTTATTTTGCACATTTGTGTAACAACACTCTGGTGACCCCCCCTCCTCCAACGGTTTAGCAAGAAAAGTACAGTAAAAATTCTTTTCTTTTTTTATAGTTACACAGTAATGACATGGCCATCTCATTTCAAAAGGACCATGTGCTAAAAAACGTTAGGGTGGAAATACGTGCATAAATACAGTAGTATTCATCATCTCCTTCCATAACTGAACCTCCTCTTATTTTTTTATGTGTAAAAAGTATTAAATGTTTTCTGTTATTTATGACAATTCAAGTTATGTACATGAGCAAAATTATATCCATTTAATTACAAAAAATAATATAAAAAAAAATTTATTTTTAAAAAAGGCATTAATCTTTTTAAGTTCCTTAAGCAATTATAGCCTGATGAAGTCTGAAACATAAATAACTTGGACAAATGGCAGCACTCTGAAATCTGACTCTTCACAAGATCACACTGAAAGATAAATTTCAGATCTTATATTTTATGCAATGGAAATACCTGCGAAATCATATGGATGATAAATGTTTTGATAGTGTGGTGGTAAAAAAATTCTAGAGAAGACTCTGCTAAGAGTATTCCTTATACACTAATCCCAATTTCATTTTCAATACAAAAAACAACTATGCAATCTTTTATGAAAGAAAATATAACATTTTCTTCCATAATGTGATTTTAGTAAAAATTACATATACATGCTATTAATTGTTTGTTTGGAGTTAACTTTCTTCATTAAATGAACATAACATTTAAAAACAGCCATTTTTGATTTGAAACTGAAGACTACAATACTGAGACTTTGAAATTAATAGTACATAATTAATTTCAATTAGTTTGATATGAAGCACGAAATGTTTAAAATTAGAATCAGACTATTTTAAACACCTTTTTTTTATTATTTTCATCCGCAAACACTGAAAGCCATGAAATTAAAAAAAAAAACTTATTACAAAAGTTTTTAGCAGCTTTTAAACAAATTCATTAAAAAAAGAAACACTTTGAAATCAAATAACGTGCTTCTATCTCTGAAAACAATTTTAATGAAGCTGAATAAATATTTAAAATATTATTAAGTTAGAACAAAAGTTTCTATTTACAATTTCTAAAAATTCTTTCAAAAACATACTGATGACTTTTGACTTAAATAACATGATTTCTAACTTCATATTAAAGACATGTAGAAAAAAATAAACTAGACTAAATAATTAAAAAAACTTAATCATTCATAAATGAGCATGCATAAAACTACAGATGCTACTGTATTTATAATATATATCCCTTACTCTAGTGTTGCAATGCTTAATATACTAGTTTATCTTACCAAGAAGCCTCATAATTATCAAGAAAACTTAAAGATAAATAAAAAATTGAAAACAATTGTTAAAATACATTTTTAATGTAGTAAGTTATAAGGTTTGATATTAATGTCTTAAAATGTCAAAATTTCTAGAAACTGCTTGAGATCATAATTTTATACATGAAATTTCACAATTTCTAAATGATGAGTTTTTATATACACATACAAAGGAATAGTAATATACATATCACTACATGAAATGATGGTCTGTTGACTAACTACTCAGCCTAGATTTAAAAAAAAAAAAAAAAAAAGAGGAAAGGAAAGAAAGAAAGAAAGGAAGAAGGACAAGACGGCAAGAAAAGAAAGAAAGAAAAGAGGAGAAGATGGCAGCATTGGTTTTTTTACATAGGAAGGAAACTTAAAGTCTTCAAAACTGCATCATAATCATATAAGAGTTATTATCGTTTTGAAAATGAAAGAAGAAACATCTTGTAAAAATTATGCAGAACAAATGTAAAATATATTTTAATGATGCTTTCTAATTGAAAGAATAACTACAGTGACATTATCTCCACTATGTTTGCGTACTGCTTCATTAACAAGTTTATTACATGCTGTTTCATAACAAATTTCTTCTTGGTCTCCATCAGTACATTCCTAAAAAGAAAGCTTAATTAATATGAAAGTTAATACCTTAAGAAGATGCATTAAAAATAGAATAACACCTATGAATCCATCTGAAAATGTTGTAGAATATTTTAAAATGCAATTGATTCCAGTTAATTGTCGCACTTCAGAACCATAATATTTTAGCTCAGGGGTTCCTAAAGTGTGCGCCGTAGTGCCCTGGGGTGCTGTGAAGAGTAAAAAGGGGGGGGCCTCGAATACCTGTTTACTCTTTTAGGGAATACTTTACATGTTACTTTTTCAGGAATACTGTTTATTTTTTTAGGAATGTTTCAAAGAATCTTTGTTTACACTTTTCAGAAATTTAAAATCGAGTACGCTGTATAAATCACTTTGCTAGCCAAGAGATGTCCAGAAGCCCGCATTCGACCTTCCCGTCGCATCGACAGGAGTTTTTGCGAGCGCTCATTGTCGGTAGCATATAAGCCGACAAAGGCGACATTGCAAAATATCGAGATATATTCGTGGATCCAAAATCCTTTCCATGCTCCGGCTCCATTGAACTCTATTGTGACAATAGCCTTAAAACAAAATTCATTTTTTCTGATTTGGTGGAGTTTTGAATAATCATAAAAAATGAATATCGAACTCTAAGTCTAAAAGCTTTAAAGATTCTTATTCCTTTTGCAACATCATATTTATGTGAAACCGGATTTTTAGCTGTAGCTGTAATAAACAGCAAATATCATTTAAAGATTAACATGAAGCAAGAAATGAGAGTGGCAGTGTTAAATCATATACTATGCTTTGAAAACCTTTATAGAGGTCAGCAAGCTAGCCCGTCCCATTGATTTTTTCCTATTTTTCTTGAATAATAATAATATAATATTCTTGTTTATCAGTTCAATATATACCTGTATGAGCCTCAGATTGTAGTTGTTTTCATTTCTGTGCCCAGTCATTAGTATCAATATACATTCGTATTTAATAAAGTGTCGTGATTTGCTATGACACTATGTAGTAAGCAGGTTGTAAAGCACAAACATTGTACAACACTTTGTTGAACACAACTAGGGCACCATGACAAAATACTAAACCTGTAAGAGTAAGTAACCTGTAAGTATGTGCCAATTGAAACAGTTTGGGTAACACTGCTTTAGCTTGATTATGCAACTGCCCAAATACTTTATTATTTTTTATTCTTAAAAATCAAAAGCTTTAAAACTTAATAATAATAATAAATTATTGATTCAAATGAATAACATAACAGAAACTAACGAAATCCATAAACAATGCACTTGTTCTTTACCTATGTCTTCTTGCTTAAAATATACATGTAACTGATAAAAAAAACATTCTACTGTTTTCTTGTGTAACTTATTAACATACCTAGTCATAATTACAGTGCTTTGACTTATCAGTGCCAAAATTACTATATTTTCACTAATCCATGTCAATCATAATTATAATGTTCTGACTAATCAATGTCAATCATAATAACAATGTTTTGACTAATCAATGTCAATTATAATTACAATGTTCTGACTAATCAATGTCAAAAGATTCCATAAATTCACTTGTTCAAAAAATACCACCAATATTTGATGAACTGGTAAATAAAAATTGCGGAAATGAAGGCTTACACACACGCAATTAGATGTTTATTATTTACCTGGAACTGTCATAATTTCTTCATTATCAAACATAAAATCAAGGTTCACCTTGAAATTCAACTGAATTTTCCTGACCAATATGAAGAACTAGCTATCAGACCAGACACGAATAACAATAATTTTACGCACTTAGTAAAAGTACAATGAAATAACTAGAAACATAATAATATTTATTTTATCTCACTCACTGTGAAACAAATGAAATAAATACATGTAGGAAATGTGCATGTAAACCATTTTAAAAATAAAGTACTATTTTCAAAAATAAATATCAAATGTAGAAAAAACAGCCTATTTTACAAAATAAATTTATAATAGTACACTAATTATTATAATATCATTCTTACAATATTCTGACATAAAAACAAGCAGCTTAGAATTATACGGAATTTAAAAAAAAAAAATGTTTAATATATTTCACTTGTTTTAAAATACAATTTTTTTTAAAGTATGCAACCATTCGAGAGTTTGCTAAGGAGTTAGATGCTAGGGCCATGTCCATTAGTCACGCTCTCCATCGCATAAATTTGATGTACAAGTTCAGTTGCTGGGTGCCGCAGGAGCTGATTCGAGAAGATAAGTTACAGACGTGTTCGGGCCTGTGCTAATCTGCTTGAATATCAACGCAAGGACAAAATTCTGGACCCAATCCTGACATGTGATGAAAAATAGATTTACTTCAACAACATAGCCCGGAAAGGGGGTTGGTCTGTGCCTAGTCAGTCTATTGGCAGCATCGCAAAGCACAAATTGACTAACAAAAAGATCATGCTTTGTATCTAGTGGGATTGCTGAGGTATTATCCCCAAGGAGCATCTGGAGAAAGGTAAAACCCTTGACAGCAAGAGGTACAGCGAGATACTAGTCCATGTTGATGCTGCTATCAAAGAAAAACGTCGAAGTGAGTTCCGGTGCAAAAAGGCGAACGCATGTGTCTGCATTCATTGGCTGGACTCAAATGGGATCTTTTGCCACACCCCATCATATCATCGTTAACATATCCCCCTAACATCGCTCCTTCGGACTTTTACCCTTTTTCACACCTGCAGCTACATCTTGATGGTGCTATTTTCCATTCTGCACATGACATTCAAAATTGAGGTTGATCTGTTTTTGTATTCACGACCACCTCGTTTCTGGGCCAAAGACTTTGAAAAACTACTAAAACATTAGCAGAAAATCACAGATTTGAGTGGTGATTACTACCTGCCCTGCAAGCTACTGCTTTCATTTTTTTTTTCTAACCTTATTAACTTTTTTGGTGGAAAACTTTCATTACAACCAAATAATAAAAATATTTCACACTTAAAATACTTAGTTGAAGCAAACAATTTCAGAATAAACTATTTTCATATCAAACACATTTTTAGAACATTTTTAGAATAAATTACTTATACATGAAACACTTTTTTAAAAATAAGTTTAGTATTTAACAAAATACATTTTCTAAAGCTTAGTTAACCACAGCATAAAAAAGAAATTTATTTACCTTTTTGGAACTAAGTACTATTTCTAAGACTTGTTCTGAAGTAAATACTTTCCACAATCCATCACAAGCCAAAAGAATAAAAGCATCATTATCAGAAAGCTGACATCTCTTGATGTCAGGAACAGATGTTATTCCCAGTGCTTTGTATTGTCCATCACCGATAGATCTTGAAACTTCTATAATGCCCATTACTCTACCATCACTAAAATATTTCCATAAGTTTTCTCAGTTTTTGTTTCAATATAATACCATTCATACAGTAATAAATAAACTGCAAAAAATAATACTGTTATCAGAAAAAGAATGCATTTAAACGGGGTTGCCACATTACCTGGAAAACCTGAAAACCACATAAAAATCAGGAAATTTAAAAACTGAGAAAAAAAGTCAGGAAATTTAAATATTTCAGTCAAAATCTGGGAGAGTCAGGAAATGTCATATGGCAATCCTCCCCCCCCCCAGAAAGTGATTTTTATGCCAAAGTTGGAAGCGGTCACTTTCTTGACAAATTATGTATTGCGTGAGCATCATTTGAGTAGCTGGCATAAATTTTCACAGCTCCAATTTGCTTTAGAAAAGCAAAGCAAATTTCCAGTAACCTCGAGAATCGAGAGATGCACATGTGCAGTGCATGTTGAACGAAAGAAAATATCTTCCTATTCTTGTATAAAACAAAATTGGTTTAATCCTAGTATACCGTACACATAGGATTTGGTGACATTACGATGCGCAGTAAACGGATCATTTTGGCGTTGATGACAATTTTCAAAATCGGGCTAAGGCCGTGCCATATATTAGGATTTTACCACAAAATCTTTTAAAAACTTTTTTTTTAATAAATGCTCGTCCCTTCCGCTCATCATTACTCATTTTGGAGTAAAATAAAAAATAGTAATCAGTCATCAGGCTAAACATTTACTATAATTATATTCATCAAAATATCATTGATTATTGTAATTCAGTTTTTAATCTTTAAGTAATTAACTTTATTTTAATGTGGCTTCTTCCTTCTAAATTTATTTATTATTAGTTAATAATACAGTCAAATACCAAAAATCGGTCAAACTGAAATCCGCATTGCCTCTCAAAATATAAACATTCAGTTTTTAGGTTCTGGAAACCGTAACATGGAGTATGAAACTTCGAAGAAAAATGCTTAACGAATAATGACGTCATGATTACCAAATAATAATGCATCATAACAGAAATACCAAATTATTGACATCATGATAAAACTTTTTTTTGCCCTTATATCTGCATCAAGGTAAAAAAGCAGACGATTCACTCAACTCTTCTTTCAAGCTCATGATTCACGTTTATGTATTTTCTGAGCTTTGTTATTTCATGAGATTGTTTAGTGTTGCCATTTTTTATGCGGATATTTTGTGGATAAATTAAGAACATTTTAAATTTCAGCGATTTTTAATACAATGACAGATAAGAAACATACTCGTGATTTTACTGCTTGCAACGTTGAAAAACGTAAACACGTTGCATTGACGGTAATGCAAAAAGTGGAAATTCTGCAAAAGATGGAGGCCGGTGCTAACTCCTCGGTTTATAGCAGAATCGTATGGAATTGTGACACGTACTGTGTATGATATACAGAAAAATAAAGAAAAGCTGTTGAAATTTTACAGCAACAGTGATTCTAACACCGAAATCCGAAATCTTTGCATGAGGCGAAATCAGCAAACGCCGATGTTGTCTTGTACATATAATACAATGAATAATATAATATAATCAATTTATATATGTAATAATATAATAAATTATTGTAATAATGTATATAATAATTTAATTATATGTATCTAATAATTAAATCTTATTTATTTTGCACTTTTAGTCCAAATATTATAATTTATCTTTTCTGTCTTGAAATCCACAAAATCCTAAAAACTGCACAACCTCTGGTCCCAAGCTTTGCGAATTACTGGACTTCTACTGTACTTTCAAATTCCAGGCAGTTTTCTTTGTCATATTCCTGAAACGAATTCTAGCAGTATGATGACATACCATCATGAAATTTAATGCACATATGTTTTGCTTATGTATGCTGCTAAATAAATATAAAATACAGTCAAAAGTCGTTAATCCGGACTCGTCGGGACTTCGGCGATTCCGGATTATAGATCATCAGTTTAAATCTGGTAAGATGGCATGCAGAAATTAATAAAATTTAAAAATATGAAACCATAATTTATGAAATAAAGAACAATTATGATCTAAAGGGTATCAAAATTTACAAACAAAAAAAAAAAAAAAAAAAAAAAAAAAAAAAAAAAAAAAAGCTTAATATTTATTTGTTTACTTTATTAAACATTTCTTTCAATGTAAGTTGTTTAAGTTGCTTCATTTTTTATGTTATAATACATTTTCTTTAATTCTTTAAACAGACATAATTTCTTGTTCAGTTACAAAGTTCCGCTGTTCAAGTCCTATAATTGCTGTGTCGAGAATACCGACTAATTTGTCAATCGAAATTTTTTCGAAGAACATGCGACAAGTCTGTGGAAAATTGCTTAAAGTTTACAGCAACAATGCTCTACGTGAACATCAGTGCCAATGTTGGTTAACAAAATTCTGAGCTGGTGATTTTGATCTCAACAACATCTCTCAATCAGGAAGGCCAAGTGAGGCTGATGACGACCAACTAAAAGCATTAACAGAGTGGAGCTATTGTTACACAACACGAGAGATTGCAGTATCATTGAATATCTATCATTCAACTGTTTACAATCATCTGAAGAAACTGGAATACATAAGGAAATGATGTGTGGATTCCTCATGAACTCAGAAATTCATATGATGGTACCGATACACATATGCGACATGCTTATTAAACATCAGAAAAGTCATCCTTTTTTTGAAGCAACTAGTAACTGGTGATGAGGAATAGATCATGTACAACCATATGGTGTGCAAACGTTTCTGCTCTCAAAGGGGTATCTGCTTCAGAGGACATCGAAAACAGACATTCATCAGAGAAAGATTATGCTCTCAGTGTGGTGGGATTTTAAAGGTGTCGTGTTTTTTTTAAACTTCTACCTAGGAACCGAACAAACAATTCCAAAGTGTAATGTCGGCAACTGAAGCCACCATCCAGAAATGGCCAGAAATCATTAATCATAAAAGAGTTGGGTTCCATCATGACAATGCAAAACCACATACAAGTTTGATTCCCTATCAAAAACGTTTGGAGTCTGGATGAGATGCGTTGCCACACCCACCATATTTGCCTGACCTTGCACAATTAGACTTCCACTTGTTTTGCTCTCTTAATATGATATAATATTTAATTTCGATAAGGCTGTAAATCAGGACCTTCTTCAGTTTTTCCTCCTATGAACGAGGAATTTCACAGCTTTCTGAAAGATGGCACAATGTTATTGAGCAAAATGGGCAATAATAATTGAAAGGTATTCTTTGTGTCATGAAATACATGTTCTCCAGTTTGCTGAAAGATGGTGCAAGATTATTGAGCAAAATGGCAATATATCATTGACAGAAATGCATTCTTTGTGTCATAAAATACATGTTGTAAAACTTCAACCAAATGCATCATGACTTTTACGACAACCAACTACAAAATTTTAATCTTTTTAACAAATTTCAGCTAAACTGCCAAATGATAACTGAAAGCATTTATTACTAAGGCATCACAATTTTCATTTTCCTTCTTTCCTTCCCCCCCTTTAAACATATCATGTCCTTATGGACAGAATCTTCAATACAGTTAATCATTTGCTCTGATTCAGTGAACATCTACTGTCATGTATTTGGAAGATGAGCAAGAATAACAAAGTTTTTCTATAAAGAAAAAGAAACAATAACAGAGACATCTGAAATATTCTTCAAACTATACAGGGCTCAAGCATTAACATATTTCAATATTTTTTACGGGTATGGACAGTTTCATGATGGATGTAAAAATGGGAGTGGTTGGTCTTTGCAGTATCAAATGGGAAAGAATGTAGAAAAATCATCACCTCATGTGTTCAAATAATATCTGGTGAACTTAAAATCAGTTAAAACACTATTATGGAAAATCTTGGGAAAAAAAAATTATAGCTTATTTTGTCCTTTATACTGTAGAACATAAAGACTAAATTTCTATGTATCACGATTACAGAAATTAATCTCAGCTTCTTTCAAACAAACAGTACAATGACTGGACATGATTTAGTCTGCTTTTTGTTCTGCCTATGATTGTGTAAAAAACAGGAACTGTCTGCTTGGATTGAAAAATACTCACAATGGCATCAAAAACTTCAGTTTCAGAAATCTCAAGTAAAGACTATGTTGTACCAAGGTGTTTTGATTAAGGAGCACCTTTGCAAATTAATTGCAATTAAAATGAATTAAATAAGAGTAAGCATTCACTAAAGGTCAGAACACCATTATGGCTTAAGAAAGAAGCTAGCTGAGAGGTCCCTAGGGAAAGAGTGGTGACAATCTGCAGTTTACGTCATGAAAGGAGCAATTAATCTCTCTTGATCAGGAACATGAGCCGAAATAAAAAGTGGAGTTAGCAACATGCACGTGTTGCCACAGGCAGGAGTGAAGAGCAAACAAAGCTGGTCTTCCGTAAAGGTAAGGTGATGCACAATCAGTGCAAATTCGCTGACAGCCTTGATTGGTGTCTAGGGGAAGGGAGAAGAGTCATTGACCTAATTGAAAGAAGAAAGGAAGAATAGTAAGCGGAGAATTGTCAGTTTGTTATTCTGCAGATAAAGCACTGGAAGAGGTAAAGTAAATTAACGGGACTTTAAAACACTTAAGATTAAGAATTTTTTTTAAAAAAATGGATTTGGAACAAAATTTCAATTATAAATAAATTTTAAAATAAGATGTAAAGCCAGGTAAGTATTGTGCTAAGTTTTTAAGTACAGTTGACTTTAACATTCAGTCAGCTGAATGAAAAATAAATAAGATTTTAGTTAAATTAAGTCTTAAGTCAAGATATCAAAAGTTAAGATTAAAACATAAAAATTAAAAATTTTGTCTGCTGTGGCTGAACAAAGCCCTAGACAAGGATTCAAGTTGTGTGTTAGCAGTGTGGGAATAGATACCGAAAAAGAGGCTACATTAGATCTAGCGGGAAGAAAAATAGTTGTTAGATCATGTAGGTGATTTTCTTAATTGGAAAGGTATAATTACTCCCCCAAAAAATTGTTTCTGAGAAACAGATATGAACTCCATATTTTATGAAATGTAATGGACAGACTTCTGAGAAGAATCCAGCACATCACATTTTAAAATGTCTCAATCAAATAACTACTTTCTGCTGTACAATAATGGGTTGTCACTCCATGCCATTCCCATCAAACAGTTTGTGACAAAGAAAAGCGGCATAATTCTCAGTAATTCTCCTTATTCACCAGATTTGGAACTTCCAGACTATTTTCCCTTTCCCACTGTGAAGTTTTACCTAAAACATTGCTTGTTTAATAGCACTAAAAAGATTCAGATAAACCATGACTAGAGACTTAAATAGTATTCCAAGCAATGAACTTTACAAAAAAACCAAGCAGCTGTCCAATACATTATATTGACTTACAATAATTACAGAATTGTATATTAAAAGCTAAGAAGTGAGAATAATTTAATTTAAAATTTCAATTTTGTACAGACAACCCTAAAAAAAAAAAAAAAAAAAAAAAAAAAAAAAAAAAAAAAACATTCTTGGAAGCCTTTTCAAATTAAGAAGGCACATGATAAAAGTGATATTTGAGCAATACATACATTCTAACCAATACATACCAGTCTGAAACCCAGATGTCTAATACTGGACTTTAGAACCATTAGCTCTTCCCCCTTTTTTTTTTCAAAAACAGAGAGATCCCAAGAGTATCATCTCATTTTATCATATGCTTAATGCATGCACAGTAGGCATTTTCTCGTAATAAAGCATGCTGAGGGATTTTTTTAAATTTCACTTTGGCATTAAATAAAATTTTTCTGTGTTGAAGAAACATAATCATTTTTTAGCATAAATCTGTATGATCATTAATTTGGATCCATAACCACCTATTTTGCTTGGCATACAACTCAAACCAAAACTCATTGCTGATTTTGTACTGACTGAATGACTTATATCCCTGATGCCAAACTGGCAAATAATTCATTATTTGTTGCTTTCATCATCATGTGACTATCAGCTCATACCAACCTGAAAAATGACTCAAGCAGCTATGCCTAAAAAAAAAAAATTTATTTACTAGTAACTGAATACCAGACAGCATGGTAATCTTTTATATTGACATTATGCTCTGCAAATATTTGACTTTAGCCAAATGGACTGTGAAGTGTTGAGTGTATTGATGAGGAGAAATTTAACATTAATTTTGTCTACATGCAAAAAATAAATTTTGTAAATGATTTTCATAGGCCAAAAGATTAAACTTCATGCTATTTGAATTAAAAATAATTGATTTGGTATTCAGAGAAACCTTATGTATATGTTGGAATTTACTTATTCAGAACTCAGACAAGTTATGTAGCATACGTAAGAAATAGACATAAGTATCATAGTAACTAAACTAATATAATTCAGGTATAACTTCTTTAGTTCATGATAGAACCAAGACAAAATTTAGCAGAACAAACATCTCTAGTTGCCAATCTCATGATATATTGTGAATAATGTATAATGAAGCTAGTTGAGCTTTATGTTGATAACCACAAATTTGAAGGTGTTTGTGTATTACAACAAAAAGTGAAATTTTCCAATTAATGGGATTTGTGAAGAAGTGGTTATAAATAAAGATATTATAATAGTAATTTTTTTCCCAATGACAATGTTCTAATCATCAATCAACAAACAGATGGCAAACTCTGCAATATGATTTTAGATCCAAAAAATATTGCTACCCATAGTGTAGAAAGTGACAGAGGTTGCTGGGAGATTTAATTTATGGGATTTCTCAACACGGCAATTATAGGACTTGAACAATGAAACTTTGTAACTGAACAAGAAATTAAGTCTAGCTACAAAATTCAAGAGAAAGTATTAGCCCAAAAAATACATAAATATTGGGTTCTTTTTTTTTAAATTAAATTTTGATTCCTTTATGATCTCTTAGTTTCATTATTTCATAACTATTCTTATTTTTAATTTTATAATATCTATGTCCTCTTATTAGATTTAAACTGGTGATCTAAGTTCCAGAAAATACTGATATTCATAATAGCCAAAGTCCCAAGTCCAGGTCTCATATTTTGTATTTATAACTTACGTTTGATGAAATTTTCATAACATAATTTGACTGCTTAAGAATTTTATAAGATCATATAAGTGAGAAGAAAAATTTATATTTTTCATAATTAAACAATTCAAATGTTTAAAATTTAAATTCTACTATCACCCAAACTATATAATTACACAGATATTTTATTTCTAAACAATATACCAAGACCAGGAATAATAATTTCCTTTTGAGTTGATATTAAAAAGATACTGAACAATAAAAAATATCAGAATTCCATTCATTTTTAATATTATTCTTTATTTCAGACCATTGAACTGCAGCACTGTAGCAAATGTTTCTCATAAAATCACTTGAAAAAAAGGGGGGAGGGGATAAGTTAAAGCCATAGTTTGCTTTTGAATTTAAATTGCTCATTTTAATGCTTTAGTCAAAAATTCCTCACACTAATTAAAAATTTAATTTCAATTTTGTTCAGTTTAAGTCTGTGTGTATTCCTCATGCTATTTAAAAATTTAATTTCAATTTTGTTAGGTTCAAGTCTGTGTGTTGATTTCTCATGCTATTTAAAAATTCAATTTCAATTTTGTTAGGTTCAAATCTGTGTGTTGATTTTGCGAGTTTTATAAATTGTTTTAAATTTGCACCCGTTCTTTAAAACATATCATTATAACACAAATTCAGGAAAAAAACTAAGTGAAAAATTTGAAGTTTCACGACTTTTTATAAAAACACACAATTTTATTATCATACCGTACACAGCCTCCTGCCTTCTGTATCCGCATTCTTTCTTTATAATCAGTTGGGGAATGATCAATGCTTAATGGAACTGCAACATATTTCTCAGCATCTTTGTTATATCTACACAGTATAGCCTGTAAAACAAACAGAGCACATTTTATTAAATAATTATTGTATGTTCATTATCAAGAATATGACGCGTGTGATTACATTGAAATATTTGTAATCTGCTAGCCATGCATTTGATATTTTTACATGGTGTAAAATGTGTAAATAATGATCAATACTCTTTTGTTCCTTTGATTTTTATATTTTTTAATCAGCAATACCTCACTGCCCATATTCCTACCAAATGAAGATTTTTCACAATTACATAATGTTTTCAAAAAGGTACAAAAAAAGAGTTAAAAAACTTGTTTAAATTTTAAAAAAGTTTAAAAACTTGTTGCTTAAATAAACTTTAGACTCTTTTAATACCTCTGAACAACATGGCTTTCTATGCTACTCATGAAAAGCTGTTAATTAAGATGTTAAGCTTAGTTGTAACTAACATGTTAAAGGTTGTTAAGCATTCATTAACTTGACATCTATGATTATTTATTTTTTTATAACCTGGCAATCATAGGATGATATTTAGATCAATAAAGAAAATAAAGTGACAAAATATTTTAAATAATAAAGTGGTCATGCTGCTCAAAGATTTAACTACAGTCAAAAGTCGTTAATTCGGACACCCATAATCCGGACCTCAAAGTTTTAAACGGGGACGATCGGGACTTCGGCGATTCCGGATTATAGATCATCAGTTTAAATCTGGTAAGATGGCATGCAGAAATTATAAAATTAAAAATATGAAACTGTAATTTATGAAATAAAGAACAATTATGATCTAAAGGGTATCAAAATTTACAAAAAAAAAAAAAAAAAAAAAAAAGCTTAATATTTATTTGTTTACTTTATTAAACATTTCTTTCAATGTAAGTTGTTTAAGTTGCTTCGTTTTATGTGATAATACATTCTCTTTAATTCTATAAACAGACATAATTTCTTGTTCAGTTACAAAGTTCCGCTGTTCAAGTCCTATAATTGCTGTGTCGAGAATACCGACTAATTTGTCAATCGAAATTTTTTCGTTTTCAATAACCTCTGTCACTTTCTTCGTTATCGGAAGCTAATTATAATGATGAGAAATTTGATTTAAATCATATCAAAGACGGAGTGCATCGAGATGAAATACTACATTTAGTCAGAAATTATAAGCCAAATAAAATAAAAACAAATGCCCTGAAGATAAGGATAGTGCTGACAGATCAACTTCCAATTCATTGCGCGCCGCGGCGTTAAAGATAAACAAAGTTTAGATAAACAAACGTTAAAGTTCAGATAAACAAAGGATATGCCTTTATCCATTTTTTGCAGCAATTCCACTTTTTGTTTAATGGACTTCAAAACATACTTTCGCTTTGTAGATCCTTTACATATTAGTAAATATATATCAGAAATTCTATTTGACATAATCGAAAGTTCAAGTTTACTTTTATAAAACTGTTCTAACAGTCTGCAAAAAATAATAAGCCGAATCCAATTCGAAGATTAAGGAACAACGCAATCTGCAACATTAACTGAATTAGATAATTTTAGCTTAGCTTATACCATCCGTTATACATTAAACGCGCATTCGTAAATGTTTTTTGCGCACACGCACACTCATATTTGCAGCCGTAAAGGTCTTACGCGCATGCGCAGAAAGCTTGTAGCTGTGAGGTCCGAATTACCGACTTTTGACTGTATTTGCAAAGAGCAATGTTTAAAAGCTATTGCTAAAAAGTACATTTGACACTAGTTCTTGAGTAGAATAGTTACATCATGTAAAAACAACAAACAATACTAAAGAAGTCTAACTTATCGCGGAGAAAAAAACTAATAAATTTTAATAAAAAAAATTTTAATTATATATATATTTACTAAAGTAATATTGATTATATTATCTCCTAATATAAATTTAGTAGAATGTATCTAAATGAAGCAACCCAGAAGTATGAAATTTAATCCTGAAAATAATATTTTTAAAGGAACTTGAATTTAAAACATGAAAAACAGAAATGTAAACTTTTAATATGAAAATTTATAAACCAAGTAATTATCCTTATTGATCGGAAATTGGTTGACTTTTCAAGAGGAACAAACCACCCCCATTCAATAAACAATAATTAATAAATGCGAAGGTTTTTCATCTTTTACTCAAGTAAGATTGATGATGCCAAACTGGTAATTTTAGATTAGGCCAAAATTGTAGTGTTTTAATTCAATTAGTGAGATTAAAGAGATGAATTAAGATTAAGTATTTCCGTTAAGTAATGGATTTTTTAGAAATTTAGAGATATTATAGCCATATTAAGTAGAGTACTATAAAGAATTCACTTTGAATGTAGCATTTTTGTTAAGTTAATGGATTTTTAAAAATCTCGAGTTAATATAGCCAAATTAAGTAGTAATAATATTTTATTATATACTTAAATAAAGTGTTCTCAACACCCTCGCTTTCATGCATGTTAATTCAAATTATTTTTATAAATATAATAAACAGAAGTTAATCTTTGCTATATTTATGAAATAAAACTCGAAGTAATTATAATAAACATGAGAAACACAATAAACAATGCAATTTTTGTAAAATTTTATATATATATATATATATGTTTGGTACTATCGATATAAATAAAAAAGGGTGGTACACAACTAGATGCTACAGCAATCCCATTCACAAAATTACAATGCTTTACGACTAATTGTTTTTCAGTTATGTGAAATACATATATATTTTTTAATCCATTTTGGAAAAAGAGAATCCTTTATTCTGTCCATACATACAGATATAATGCAAAAAAAATGTCCAAATGGCTTGGGAAACTTTCAAAACCATTATTTCTATTGAAATATGATACCTGAAACTTTTTGCAAATCATGATATCACAGACCTATCATAAAGAAATCATGATAGGACTGTGGAGTTTGCCAGCTCATGAAAAAACAAAGCCTTGCATCTCTTCAGATATATGGCATTTTGGCCAAACAGTAAAGAATGCAAAAATTCGTGTTCTGAGAAGTTGTACATCATAAATGAGCGAATTTTACAGATAAAAATGTTTGCAATTCTTTTTATGATTGTTTAAGCAAAAGCAGATTGATGGGTACATGACAAAACAGCAGCATATGCAATGCACAATTTGTGCAATTCTCTCAGGGCTGTGGAGTCGTAATCAGAGTCGGGCAGATTTTGGGGTAAAAGGAGTCGGAGCTGGAGTCGCTAAAAACAGGTTGACTCCGACTAAAGTTTTTGTTGGACAGTTTGAGTTTGAAATTAAATTAAAATAAATTGAAAAAAAATTAATGACAAGTTAAGTTATTATTTTTATTTACAAACTGTATACATTAATAAATAGCTATTTTCTATTTTATTAACATATTCATAAATAAATATAAGGATGGATGTGATATTTGCATTAGCAATTAAACTGATTCATTTAGTTACAAATCTCACAGGTAAATTTAGGTAAGCAGCAATAACTCCTAAAATTGACGCCATTCTTAGGAAGTGAGCAGGAAAAGGAGCAATTATTGATCAAGCAATGCAATAAGGAAGTACATATTTGATGATAGAGTTTTTAGAATTAAAGAACTTTTTTAGCAGAAGTAGATAATCCTAATGTTTCCCTAACAGAAAGACTGTGGAATGATCTTGCAGAATTGGAAACTCCTCTTTCTACATCGTATATAGCCACAAAAAAGCTGCAATCTGAAGAATTGACAGGAGGCGAGAATGGAAGAATGGGATGTTTGTTCTTTCTGAAATGGAGGGTTTATTGCAGAAAGAATAATTTCTTCAATAAAGAAAAGAGAAACTAGTTTGCTAGACGATGAGATCTTGCTGGGTTCAATATATTCAATATACGCAGATCCGAAACACTGAATTTTCTTGGATGACGAACACATTAAAAAGGCAAAGAAAGTCATCTATGAACTTTCAATTAAGAATGAAATTATTTTCAGAACAATTGGAGAATTCGAATCGGGGCAGTCAAATTGCAGACACAATTGAGTCTCTATCATCCTCTTCTAGTGATGAATTAGGATTTTGAGAAATATTTTTGGATAATAGTGAAAAGGCTAAAACAAAGTGAATGAAAATAAAGAACCAAGAGCCTTTAGATATAAAAATGAAAAAACACAAACAAGGTTTCGACACAGCTTTTGAAGAAATAGAGAAATATGATTGTGCTTGCAAGACACCTCTTTTAGAACTTATAAAACTCTATCCTGAAAAGTTAAAAGAAGTAGCCCTAACAGTAACAGCTCTTCCTTCTACTTAAGTTGGTGTCGAAAGACTCTTCTTAGCTCTGAAGTTTATCAATCGGATCTAAGGGCCTCCAACATAGAAGATCTTGCCGAAGCTATACTGTTTATTAGAAATAACTAATGCCAGTTTTTCTATTTCATAATAAATGCTAATTAATATAAATAATTTGCTATGCCATCATTTTTTTTTTTTTTCTGTAGCCTCTATTACTTCTTTTATATTAAAAAAATAAGCTGTAACCCATGCGTATATTTTTACATATATATATATATGAGGGAGTCAGAGTCGGTGTCATTAAAATTCCAGGAGTTGGAGTCGGTCATTTTCCCTACCGACTCCACAGCCCTGAATTCTCTGAGTTTTTTTAATGCAAAAACAGACTGCTGTATACATGGACAGAAAAACAGTGTATGCAGTGCCAAAGTTGTATCAGAATACCAAGTTTCTGCAATTCTGTGATTTTTTTTTAAACTAAAACAGTTAGCTAGCAGCATACACTGGGAGATTGACAGGGAAAAAAAAGTAAATTTTTTATTATGGATGTATCTTGCATTTTTAACTGTATTGGCTCGTGGAACTACACCTGTATGATCTATGATGAAATTCTGGCATCCCATCTACTTTTCCCTGTATTGTTCTGTACAAACTTCTAACTTAACTTGAAAAATACCTCTCTGTTAAAAATTTAACTATTCTGCAAATATATATAATCTATTTTTCTGTGGATTTCTACTAGAATCACGACATGCTACTGGCACACTTTTTAATTATTAAATTTTTACTTTTCCTTTTTTGGGGGGAGAGGGGGGAATCACCAGGTATTTTTAAAGAGGCAACCTACAATTTAAAAAATATTGCAATAGAGTAAAAAAGGTACATTAGTGCTGCTGTGATTTTTTTTCAGCTGATCATATGAATCATTTGCTTCATGAATGCTGATTACTAACAGCCTGCTAGAAGATGCCACTTGTAGCCATTTCAGAAGGCAACTACTATGTAGTAATATCTAAGTTTATAAAAGACAGAATTTCATAAATAGAAATATGAATTTTAAATTATTTACTTTACTGTCTCCAAGATTAGCAATGTATAAAATATTCTGAATAACTAAAACAACAATTGCAGTAGTTCCATCTTTCCAGGATGGCTTTGTTTTTGTCGCATGCTTTAAAAATTCTTCATCTGTTTTTTTAAAAACTTCTATCAAAGTTCTTTTTATCTCTTTTTCAATCTGAAGAAATGAAACTAGATGGAAGAAATAAAAAAAAAAAACATACATTGCAATACCATATGCTTTCACCTTATGCAACAATAATATAAAATACTCAACATCTGCATTTAAAATACAAAATCATACTTTGGTCATATATAATAATATAGAATAAATTTCATTTAAAATTTTTTAAAAAGTACATATATTCTACTCTAGCTTTACTATATAAGCTCTGTAAAAAATTTCACATATTATATTCATATATTGCATTTCTGTATACTGCACAGGATGTCCAAGAAAGAATTGATGAAAAAGAATGACACATACATCCAAACTCAAGTATGTTTAACGCATTGCAGTTTACTAAGCCAAAAAAAAATTCACCAAAAGTTTTAGCACACCTCTATGACTGCATTAAATGTATTGACAAGTCTTCCGCCCCTGCACTTGATGGTATAGAGCAAGAGTGCTGTGGTGAGAGTGATAAGACTAAAACAAGACACCACTATTTGGAGTAAGACTTATGTATTCTCAGACTATGAGAATCACGTTGCCCACTCTCCTTGCCACCCTGCAGACTTCGATATAAGAAGCAAGCTGTAATCATCCACGTGCAATACAATCCTCAGGCATCTATACTGGTGGCTCCAAAGGAGAGCTCGGGACTGGCAGTACCTGGTGTACAATGGATAGTGACCTCATAATCGATTCCTGGGCTAAGAAGCTTCATCCCAGTAACTCAATGTGCCAGGCAAAATTTACAGCCCCAAAAGCTGTTCTGGAATTTACTGCTAGCAATGGATGATATAAAGTAATTTACACAGTCTCAATGCCAAGCTCGTAGGCCATCCAGGGTGGCCGCAGTAGACATTCCATAGCCACAGACATACAAAAACTATTAATTTCAATTCCGGAAAGTCTGAGGCCCAAGCTTCAGTGGGTTTCAGCCCTTATAGGGATTAAAGAAAATGAAGCAGCAGATGTGATTGCAAAAGGCACAGTTAATGAACTCCATGTGAGTAGTATAACTGTGCCCCTTCCACACTCATATCTGAAAAACCACTCTTAAATGTGAATTAATGAAACGATGGCAAAACTACCGGGAGACGACGAGTACCACATGCAGAAAACTGTAAAATTTTCATCCAAAAGTAAACCAGAATTTAAATAGCAGCTCTTCGCACCTCATGCAATATCTGACAGGGCATGGCCCATATATGTCCTATCTACACAGATTTTGCCTACGGAACAGCAACCAATGTATTTGTGGCAGTACTGGTGACTCAGATCACTATCTGTATGATTGCTCACACACAGCAAATTCACATTTAAAAAGACCAGCTGCAATCAATATGCCAGCATGGTTTAAGAACACAATTAAGAATAAATATGAGTTCAGCTGCGTAAGAGACTGCACTACCATTGCTAAAAGCATTCCTGACAGCCTGGATAGCAGTTTATAGATAGATTCCTGATAGCCTGGATTCTTTCCTTGGACACTGTGCATCAGCAGCCTGCTCTGTACATATATTAATTTACTTAATGTCTTGCGCTCTTTCTTTTTTTGTTTTTTTAATTATATTTAATATTATGATTAATCCAGAACTCATTTAATGTATTTCATAATTTGTGATGTATTTGTTCAGATTTCATCTATGCCTAATATGTACCATAATAATGAAAAGTATTCCCGTTAGTTTCAACAGTCCCTACCATGCACCTTCTTTCCACGTTCTGGTCCTTCTTTCAATGTTTCTCGTTCAGCATGGCCAGTTCCCGGAGGACACAGCACTAAGCTCTTTATTTATTTTTATTAATTAATTTATTTTAATTCATAGTTTTATTGTGCATTAAATAAATAATTCACAATTTTATTGTGTTATTACTTTTAATTAATTCCATCGATGGGATCCAATAAGCTTGAAAAGCCCTTATCCTAGTAGACCAGCTGTTCTGTTAATGGCGAAAAGAAAGTATACCACTATGTGAGCCCCACTTGTAACTTCGGCTATTGTTGTGATGATATTCAACTAGTGTGACCAGTCTTATTGCTTTCGTAATCTGAATCTGCAACTTCGGCCACAGGTGTTCAATACACTCTTAAAATTCCATGAAAAGAAATCTAAATGGGTTCAAGTCCATTTCATGTCATTTTTTCCAATGATTAAAATGTTTTGAGTTCTGTCTGTGTTTATTGCATTGTGGTTTATACAGTACAAAGTCCATAATCCAGACTCGTCGGGACTTCGGCAATTCCAGATTAGGGATTTTTCCGGATTATAGATCATCAATTTAAATTTGGTAGGATGGCATGCAGAAATTATACAATTAAAAATATGAAACTGTAATTTATGAAATAAAGAGCAATTATGATCTAAAGGCTATCAAAATTTACAAAAAAAAAAAAGCTTAATATTTATTTGTTTACCTCATTAAACATTTCTTTCAATGTAAGTTGTTTAACTTGCTTCGTTTTTTGTGCTAATACTTTCTCTTTAATTCTATAAACAGACATAATTTCTTGTTCAGTTACAAAGTTCCACTGTTCAAGTCCTGTAATCGCTGTGTCGAGAATACCGACTAACTTGTCAATTGAAATTTTTTCGTTGTCAATAATTTCTCTGTCACTTTCTATCAGAAGTGCGCATTTGTAAATGCTTTACGCACATGCGTAAGTTTGTAGCTTTGAGGTCCGTATTATAGATCATTCCGGATTATGGACTTTGTACTGTATAAACCACAATGCAATAAACACACTGATTTCGCCTATGTGTGTCATTCTTTTGCATCATTTTTTCTCAGACAATTTGCATATAAATGAAAGAATTTGACAAAGACACCATTTATTAAATATGTATCACGTTTAACTTATTTTGATTGCTTGAGTCACACTGGTACTTTTCAAATTTTTAAATATTTTTTAGAAAGCAATAAAATTAAAAATAAAAATTCATACAAATTATATATTGGAGAAAGTTTTTATAAAAATCTAAAAACAATTATTGCACAAATGAATTAATTCTAAAACCATTATTGCTTGAGTGAATACTAACCATTATGCTATAGTAAATTTAATACTATATGTCATAAAAAAAAGAGATAAATTTATTTTCAGAGATGGGTAAAAAGTTACATTCAGCTTAAAGGAGAAGTCTGTGTTATTTTGAGAAGACAGAGCTTCGATGGTCTATAGAAACCTTCTATAAAAAATACAATTTTCAAGAAGATACCAAATCCCAACTTGCAAGAAGACCCAAAATTATTTACCAGCCCTTCTTCTAGGTTTACTGAATGCTTCAGAAATTAGAATCAGTGTTGGTATTTTTGAGAATGTATTGGTGGGTACTGGCTAACAGGTACTCCTCAGGCTTTAAAATGCAGGTTTAAAAGGTTCACATGGAGAAATAATACTTGATTGTAAAAGTACTTGACTTGTATTGATTTGTAAGAAGTGGTGGTCACCAGCATTCTCATGAAATAGTGGTGTGCTGTGGCATTTCAGTTTATTTTAACTAGGACATAAGGTACAAGGTGGGGTATGAAATGTTTTTAGTTGATCCCCTTAGTTATTGAGACAGCATGATTTTCACGTATTCAAAATTCTGTAAACTGAAAAATTCAAACATAACTGGTTTATTTTTATCAATGGTGTGATATTTAATTTTTTACATATCCCCGTATCACTGTAGATGACCTATATAATCACATAAAAACAAATTAAATAATTTTGTGGGACAAGGAATCCTACAAAGTCATACACAGACTACTCTGAAATTCTGCAAATACTTTTTAAATAATTATTACCTGGAAATATTTTAAGACTAAATCATTAAAAAAGACAGGCCTGAAATGGGATATGTACTTTTTTCATTATAAACTTAGAGAATTTTAAAATTTATTAAGCTCTGTATTTTGATGTCTAGAAATCTAATGCTTTTATAAAAGTCTTAAGCAATTTTTAAAGCAAACTGAGGATCCAATTACAGTCTAAAAACTGCTATAGTACAGTTAACTGAAAACAAAACTATTTTTAAGGGGCATACCTAAATTATTTGTTACCTCAAAATTTATATTCAAATGTAGATGATGAAACGTAAATCTCTCTCCTACGGGAGACCCACCCTCTAAGTCAGAATTCTGCACAACTGACTAGCATTAACTGACCTTAGTTTAATGAAGCAAAATGGTTAAAAAATTCAGACTGGAACACTGTGGATACCCTTGGGAAATTTGAGAGCCAGATTTACATGCAGTTGATCAGCTGCAAATTTTGATGCTCTGCTTCCTCCATGTCCATCAAACACTGCATAGTATGAGAGTCGAGAGCTGAAAAAAAAATTAATACCAGTATAAATTCAACACAATAAAATACTGCTTTTCAAAAAAAATAAAATAAATACTACTACACGTTTACCATTTAAAATTAAAAGTGGCATACAAATCTTAAAAGTAAATCCCTTAATCTCATTAAAAACTGAATACAAAATTTCAGAAGAAACAAAACAAAACAAAACAAAAAATCTAGTTATTTATGAAATACATTACACAGATGGATGAAGCTGAGGCACATGCTTGTGAAAGTCATTTATCACCACATGACAATCTTGCATTTCTTCACGTTCTCCTTTTTTTTCTGCATAATACCCTTGTACATCATACAGTTCTTCTAACAGAAAAGAATAAAAAAAAATTAAATCACATTTACTACCAAAAAAAAAAAAAAAATCTATGCACTGAAATTATTCTAAAAATATCACTGAAGGAAACTGGCCACAGCTTTAATTCAAATAAAAGTTGGTGAGGTTTAGAATTAGTAATAATGACCAAATTCTGGATGATTTAATATTTAGTGCATTTATAGCAAAATATATTTTAAGTACAGATGTATTATACCAGAATTATATACAGACAGATCTACTACAAAAATTTATCAATGACACTCGACACATCAACTGCCACAAAGTTTATCAGTGACCGGTATCAAACACACTCTGCTAAGTCCTAAAAGTCACCAATGATTGGTAAAATGTTCTGAATGTTCATCATCTTTCTCAGTAGAAAGCAAATACTGTATATACTCGCGTATAAGTCAACCCCCCCCCACTTCGACATAAAAAATTCGTAGAAAATAAGAAACCCGCGTATAAGTCGACCCCCTTCCCACTTCCGAAATCGATCAAGAAACTTCGAAAAAATTTTTTTATGTACTACATTTATTCAAAATCATCTGAGAAAAAAAGTAAATATACGATAAAAAAATACCTTGGTAAATAAACAAAATCAAATCTTCAACGTCTGATTCATGGTCAGATTCGTCAAACATTTCATAGAACTCTTTTGTCATCATTGGCTCGTCATCATACATATTTTCAGTCTCGAACTCCATGGATCGTTACAATCACTACTAGAGCCTTCGTCATCATTTTCACTTTCAAAGAGCAGCATTATCATCTGTGCCGTTTAGTTCGTTGCTAATACATTTTTTAAAAAAATGATTTTATAATCATTTCAGAGGATATTTCGTTCCAAGCATCTTTAACCCACTGAGCAAATTAATGTAATATTCGGGCTTTTTAATGTTGCCTCCCTTTGTAAATGTCAGTCGACCGGAACTAGTCCACTCTGTCCAATATTTTCTAACATTTACTTTGAAGGGTTTATTGAGGCAGACATCTAGGGATTGAATGACGGATGTCAATCCTCCCGAAATTACGGAGTCGTTTTTAGGTGTTTAGTAACTTTTGTCACTTCTTCAGAAAAGTGTCCACGAAAAGAATCGTATGCTAATCGTATACTCTGTGATTAGTTCGTCACATAATTTAAGTCATGAAATTTACTTCAAAGTAGTGACTTATTTGATAATCGTCCAATTTGAGTGCGGGAAGAAAACAACTGTTTATATAAAGAAATTTTTTGAACTTCCGATTCTTTTAATATTTTATGGCCCCGCGTATAAGTCGACCCCCCACTTTGAAGACTTTTTTTTTTTTGTCCAAAATATCTCGACTTATACGCGGGTATATACGGTACTTAGAAAAATTATTTCAATAGTAATTAAATGCATTACAATGCACTAATGACCATAGGCAACAACCAAAGAGACCAAAGAGATAAACACACTATTGGAGAAGATACAGTATTATTTATTTCTATATTTTAAGTGCAAAACAAAGCCAACAAAATTCCTAGCAATTTGTATGCTAACACAGCATTTAATGTATAAATGAACACAGCAAAGTAGTATTACCAAATTTGTTTGATAACGTAAGACAAAAATAAATACATACATTGTACCCTCATATAATATAATGCCTGCATCTCATGTATTATATTTTACATACAAGTATTTTAAAGCTTATGCCATTATGATCCTGAGATCTTCAAGATGCTATTAAAACCAGACACAGCAACCAATGAGAAACCTGCACCCACTTGACATATGACCATATATTCACAAGTTATCATGAGTATACTTCTTTGGTGTACCACCAAATATCACTTGACATATACCCTGGAGTATGCATATCCGATTTTGGAGACCACTGCTATAGAAGGCGATGGATTAGCCATTTCTCCTTAGATATATCGTATTTCCCAGTGTAAAAGTTGCACTTTTTCTTTTAAAGATTTTGCGTCTAGAAACTGGGTGTGTCTTATACAACTGTGCTACCAGTGTCAATGGTGGCCTTGTGCCAAATGCAACCAAGAGTAAAAGACTGTTAAATAACGGATGTGGGGCATGTGTGTTAACTCCTAGAATGGAAAGGCTTCCGCTCACCCATTCCTTTAAAACACTGAGGCATCTGAATTCGACTAAGATTCACAATTCCTGGTGCTTATGGATTATGGCAACCACCTTAACACAGTTTGGCAAATTTTACAGAATAAAAAAAAACAATTACTTTTACTGTGAAAAATAATATCTTACATACATTTTCTATGTTTCAACTATATATTTATTCCAAAAGAAAACCAGTAAACCTAGTTACAAATGGGTGTTCTTTTCTTATTGTGGAGGAAATTTCATCGCAATCGCTTTAAAAAAGAATTTGAAGCATTGTTCTTTCAACAGAGGCAAAATAATGTATTCTTGCAGAAATTTTACTTTTCCTTCTTCTATTACAGGAAAATCATACAAGCACAAATTTTAAAATTGTATTTAACAGAAAAAATAATCAAAATTTTTCTAATAAAGCTCTTGGAACTTGGAATAGAACAAAATGAATCCATAAGAAAATGGCGACATTGGTAACAATATTAAACATGAGCATAGTTGCTTGAATAATTTTTAGGTGCATGGCTATGAGATTTTAGTGTATTCTGGAGTTTTGGTGATTTCTACTAAGGTTGTTGTGATAATACTTAAGTACCTAATTACTTTTCTCTGTTCTTGACGAACAAAATGGTGTGAAAGTTTCAAATAATATCGTTTCTAGTTCCTAAAAAACAGCTTTTCCTCTGAATGTATACTAACTTACCTTTAACCTAAAGATCAGAAATCACACAAGAATCCTGTTAGGATAAGACTGTCTACAATAAAGACAAATATTGATACAATGCATTTGGAGAAACTGCATCTTAGGCTATTATGTATTTTAGAGGGTACACAGATGAAATCCAGCTAATAGATGGGAGTTCTGACAGTGACAAGTTGTATATTGAATAAATATTGTTTTCAATAAAGTTATGTAATTTTTTTTCCTATTAAATTGTAATCCAGCAAGTTAATAAAAACCAGTCCTTCAATCAAATAATTCTTTGATTTTTTTCAATTTTGGGGTTCCAATCAGGATGCATCTTATGCATGGAAGCATCTTATACAAGCAGAAATATGATCTTAATTTTTAAACAAAAAATATGTTTAGTCAATTGCAGTTTATATAAAATTTGCAAAATTTTATATAAACTAATGACTGCAATAAAGGTAATGGGTATTAGCTTCTTGAAGATCAGAGGTCACCAAACTAAATTATAATAATTTCCTGGATGAGTGATACTTTTCTGATGGTTAAAATTAACTCAAGAGTTAAAGGTAATTCAATAATCATGAATTTACTAGAAAGAATCAGTACCATTTCATATCCAACATTAAAAATTGTTCGTTAATCATAAATAGTGAAAATAGTGTCTCAGCATAAAATAATGCGTCAGTCAATTTGTTAGTCTAGTGGATTTTAAAAAAAAATTTTTTTATTAAAAAAAAATTAATTAACCACTTAAAAACGTACATAAAAGTTTTATAATGTTTATAATGTATGTAAATATATTTCAACAAATTCTCTATAATTTTACATAGCTAGATACAAATTTTATATGGAAGAACTGTCATGTTGTTTCTGTAATACAAATCTAATGCTAACAGATCAGAACAAACAGAACAGACATAATGGGTTAAACTACAGCTCACTAATCTAAGACAAACACAGGAGCTTTTTATAACAGATAAGAACCACTGGTTGCAGACATTTAGCCGACAGGACACTTAACTGACACCAGTTAGCCGACAAGACATTTAACTGACACTTAACCGAACGGACGCTTAGCCAACAGGTAACTTAGCCGACAGGACACTTAACCGACATGAACACTTAGCCGACAGGACATTAAGCCGACAATGAGTCTCGCTTTTCCATTGCTTTTAGATTTCTAATACTTTTACATTTCATTGCTACTCTCCTCAACACATCACACTACATTCATTCCTGTATAAAGTCGTTTCACTCCTCCACTAGTGCAATTTCCTTTCCCTGTCAGTAAGTAGAGTGATTTGCCCTACTCCTTGCCACACTGGAGCTACTTTTTTCCCCTAAAATGCTATTACATATTTATTAATCTGGGATAGGGCTTCGGCATGGGAATTCAAACCTCGTGGCCAGCTAACAGAAGTAGGTTTGGTTTATGTATTTATGGCAAAGCCAGAGGGCTATCTGCTTAAGGGAAGGGATACCTTTGTCTAGGACTTTTTAAGGAAAACTGGCTCGTACACATGTTACATATGGGGATAACCATGAAAACACCCATCCAGCCAATCCGTTCGCGGGATTTGAAATTTGGACCGAACTGTTCAGTGACTTTACCGCTCGGCCGCTGCTGGGACTAACAGAAATAGAGTAACCATTTTACTTAATACCAGTTTTACCAGTCTCTTCCAATGAAAATTCCCTTTTTAGGCTAGAACTTTATAAATGCATTCAGGAAAATGGGCACCAAAAATTTCCCATTACCATATAGCTAAACCAAAAACGAGAAAGAGAAAAAAAATAATAAAATTAATGAAAGATGAAATGAAAATTTATACATTTTTAACAGACATTGAGAAAAGTAACATTTGATAAGAAAAGCATTAATACAACATATTATATTGAAAATTACACATCGCGACTTTCAAAAGAGAGTACATAATATTATCTAGTTACATGACCAAAGCCAACTTACACTCAAGGCCTGTCAGACGGGAAGAGATTCCTGTTCCCAATTTCCAGTGGGTTTTGCGAAATTCATCTCTAGATGGCTCTCGCATACTGCTATACATTCAACATTTGTAACGTAGCTCATTAATAACAAAAAGTGTATTTTATTAAAAAGTATCGCTGTTTGCTAATAGTAATACAGAATGGTATTTTGTTGCATGCCATACTGGAAAGTTTTCTTCCTTTTAACAAATTT